TGTCTGTCTGTCTGTCTGTCTGTCTGTCTGTCTGTCTGTCTGTCTGTCTGTCTGTCTGTCTGTCTGTCTGTCTTCTGTCTGTCTGTCTGTCTGTCTCTATGTCTGTATGTTATCTTGCTCGTTATTTTTCTCTCCATGTCATGTCTCCCTGTATCGTCACGAAGGAGGACAAGCACTCCCGGGTACTCGTTAAGGCGGGGGGAGCGTTAGACGTCGATGGCCAGATAAGCTTTACGGCCTCGGGCATGAGATTCGTCCATGCGTTCGAGGACCAGCAGGCAGAAGACCAGCAGGGAGCATCCATCCCTCTGCTCCTCAAGAACGGCGACAACAACAAGCCCCCCAACCCCCCCGCCATCCGCCCCTCACCTACCCCAGGGGACGAGCACAGCACCACTGCCAATGCCGACTCCGGTGTTATCTCCGACGGTACCCCGAAAGCCACCGGTCCTTCCACCGCAACCGAGGGTGCACGCCTAACCCCAGCGCTTGCCGTCGAGGCGGCCGATGCCTTTCAGCGACACCCTACAAGCGACCCTCAGCAGCAGCAGCAGCAGCAGCAGCAGCAGCAGCAGCAAGAATCCCGCCCTTCCACCGAGAGGCTTTCTCCCATGAATGGGGCCACGAATGACGCCAACTCCCACGCCGACCCTGACAGTGGCATCAATCCCGACGACGACTCCGACAACAATTTATCGTCTGAGCAACGCCAGCAACAGAAAGAAGACAATCCACCAAGCGCATCCCCCGTATCTTCCTCGTTTACCATGGAGCAAGACGGCGGCGCCAACCCCAACCTCGACGGAAAGCGGCAGCTACAGCAGCAAGAACCCCGCCCTTCCACCGAGCAACGTTCTTCCATGAATGTGGCCAAAGATGACGCCAACTTCCACACCAATCCCTACAGTGGCATCAATCCCGCCGACGACACCAACACCAACCCATCGTCTGAGCAACGCCAGCAACAGAAGGAAGACAACCCACCTAGTGCACCCCCCGCATATTCCTCGTCTACCATGGCGCAAGATGGCGGCGCCAACCCCAACCCCAACCTCAAGGGAAAGCAGCCGCCGCCGCCTCCGCTGCCGCCGCCGCCGCCGCCGCCGCAGCAGCAGCAGCAGCCCCTCAACAACGACAAAATCAACAACCTGAACAGGTCCACCAACCCACCCGACAAGCCATCCTCCTCTACCACAAGGGACAACACCAATGCCGGCACAGCCCAGGGCCTGCCCCGGACCGACGACATTGACAACATCGTGGCCTCGACCCTGAACTCGTGCGACGACCTGACAGCCGGCCGGACCCCGGTGTATGGCATCGTTGTAGTCACGAACCACGTCATTTGCCAGGAGGCGCGAGTGAGTACAGTACTCCCTGATAGTGTGATTTGTTTTGAACAAAAACTTTTGCCTCGTTATCATCTCGCGCTCTCCTCTCCCCGTCCCTCCCTCCCTCCCCCGCTACCCCTGTTCAAGTTAGTATCTTCGAATCAGGGTCTTCTCGTACCAACTCGTGCTGCGATATCATTTTTTTCCCGCTCTCTCTCCCACACTCTTTTCATGGCTCTTGTTGGGTAGTAGTGACATTTTTCCACTGTCCCTGTGTTGAACGCGTGCGTTGATAGACACGTTGTTATTTTCTTCTTTATCTTGGGGTTTTGGTAGCGATAGGCGATAGATCTGTTCGGCCGAGGTACTCTTTGTCGTGTCCACCGCGATTGAATTCGAGGATTGTTGAATTGTGGACATCCTTTTCGATCGCTCCCATGTCAGGATTGGATAAACCGCCAAAGTAAACCCAGGTCAAGTGGTTTTGGAATGCTTACACACGTTCGGCAAGTCAACCGTCCACCGTACTTCAATACCAAGACCATGTCACCAACGCCTTCTCCACCAACAACGAATCCACAACAACGCACGGGATCTACACAACCGTTCGCCACTCCCTCGATCCCATGTCGCTTTTGCCACGGTGCCCCTCCTATTGCTCGCTACTCACAACCCGACGCAGACCATTGAGGTGAGCAAGAAGGCGTACTTCATATCCAAGATTCCCACTCTTTGGTTCAAGGGCGTCACGTTCTACGTGCGGGAGACCGGGTCGTTGAGGTTCGGCATACCCACGATGCACCTGGAAATTCTCGAGGTAAAACCTGCGGATTCTTGCGTCTCTTCTTGTTTTGTCCACTGACAGCGTAGCGGTGAGGGAGGGGAGCCACGATTTTTCTCTCAGCCATGCGGTATCGAACAGCGTGTGTGTGTGGGAGACACATGAATCAGCAGGCACCGATGCCGGGAAAGTGAGCAAGAAGGAAGAGCTGTGCGTTGTATTGGATCGTCTCAGGGTTGAAGGCACATGGCACACACACCGGCTCAAAGTTGAGAGTCTGTTTTGGTCGTGTGGGTGGAACGTCCGGCGAGATGCTCCATTCTCTTGCCTTCCCCTACCCGCACAGGTGATATGGCTTGGTATAAAAACTTCGGTCAAAGGATTTCGAGGACAAGTCTTAGGGGGGATAGAGAAACGACAACACATCCCTCCTCTTTTTCTATTGCGCCCGTTGCCCTAAACATTGGACGTGGCTTGTTACGCACGAGAAGGTGGCGCGATTTGAGTGATTCCGCCCCCTTCCGCACTTTGTCTGGGCCAAAGGATGTATCGGCTTTACCAAAATACGGGAAAAGGAGTAGCCGCCAGACACTTCATCGCCAAACCGAGAGACGATGATTTATATCGTCATCGTAGAAACAAGTCCACATAGCGTTTGACATTTTTCAACTGAAGTCGAAGGGAACAGCTTTATTTCGGTCTCCCAACCGCAGCAACTCCAAAGTAATGTAACCTTTTCGCAAGAAAGCTTCGGATTTCGACCACCGTCAAACGTTTATTATACCCATTTCGAGAGAGAACTTCATTTTTCGAGACAACCACCATCCCATTCCCGAGAAACTCGCACTCTTAAGGCCGGCGTGGAGGCATACAAAACTGGACCCGCGGAGCGATCGTAGGGTAACACACTTCAAAGT